AAGTTGGTTCTAAACGCGGGTGATGGTGCACAACAAAATGTTTGACGATTTTCTGAAAGTTGACAAAATATCGATGAAGGAATGCCGGTGTGACGCCGCCTTTCATGAACTTAAAATCCGTCAGTGTTGTTGTAACCTGATCCTGTCTATATCATGTACAGAAGGAATAAACATATTTGAACGTGTAAGAAACTAGGCACATAGAATCACTATATGCTCCTTAATCAGGTAAATAAGGTAAGATTTTTGTAAAAATATGCATTGTTTTAGATTAGGAAAATTTAGGTCAGGTTCTCAAAGGTTAGATTGGTGGGTAATAGTGGAGGAAATGGTTTGCACCAGAAGGACTTTATGGAATTGCACCAAATTTTCAGATGTTTGGATGATACTGAGTATTAAAATCGAAATGATAACATTGTAGTTTTTTTCCTTTTAGCCTATCCTTTGATCATAAATTACTGTACTACAGTTAGTGGGCAGGGCATTAAAGGAGAGGGAAATAATGGGGTAAAAACAATGAATACAGATCATATACCAGTGATTTCACGTCTACGTACTTTGTAGGGGAATAAATAAATTAATTGCCGTAATTATGGCGCCATCAGATCTCCCATGGTGACCATGTTTTAGTTTCACATCGTCAGCTATACGGGAGCATCGCAGTCTTTGTTTACATGTCAATAAACGAACGATTATCTCATCTGGCGTGTTTATTAAGATTTAGGTATTACTGTACTGTATTGTATTAGTGGGCTCGAGGATAAGAATTAGGTTAGATTAGGAAAACTATGTTTTCCTGGTGGTTTTTGAAGTGTTTTGAACGATTTTGATGTTCATTTCTATCGGAAATCACTGGTTTTTATGATTTTCTCCATCCCAAAACTGGGGATAAGGGGGGGGGGTTATCGCAAAATGAGCGATTTTCAATAGAAATGAACATCAAAGTCATTCAAAACACTTCAAAAACCACCTGGAAAACATATACCTAGTTTTGTTATTCAATTGCATTGGGGCCCACTTATGCAAATTTACCACGATTTATATTGGATTGGATTCATTTAGTGTTTATTGAAGTGCTGTTTGGATGACAGTAAGAAATTTTAAATAACAATACAGTATACAGGTTAGGAAGTTAGGTGAGGTTAGGGCAGGTTCTTACATTTAGTGTCATCCAAATAACATGTGAAAATTTGGTGCAGTTCCATAAAGTCCTTGTGGTCCTAGCCATCTCTCCTACCATTATTGGTTGGTGTTTTGTTTTAGTGTTTTCACTACATTTTCTCTCATCTTCAAAGCCCTACCCACTTTGTAAGAAACCATTGTCATTGGTAGCAGTTCATATCAATAAATATGCATCAGTGAAGTAAATAAAAATCAACTAATTTAAATGACCATTAGAAATATTAGGAAAGCTATTTTGGTTGTTAATTTCCCATTATGGTCACTAATGAATCTTCACTGTCAGCCATACTTAGGGACTGCTGTTTATTTCAACAGCCATACTGTACTTGGGTTAAATAGAGTATACAGGTATATGGTTTTAAGGTTGCCACCCCAGTGGTTGGGGACAAGATTGAGTAATACAGTACAGTATCTGTACTTTATCAATGGTCTGGCCTCAGCACCAACTTAAGGAATTTTCTCCATTCAAAATAAAAGCTTATTTACCTAAAGAAACTAAAATATGCAGAAGTACATTACAGTTTATGTTATCACAGTTGCAATTTTTTGTGTTTTTTTCTTTATTCGGAAGAGCTGTCTCTGTCATACAGAGGGCCCCCAAATTCGTGGGGGTTAGGTTCTCAATATGGCAGCGAATCGCCAAATCCGTGAATAACATTGGGAGGGGGGGGCATTTTTACTTGTGTAAAAAAATATGTACAGTAGTACCCCGATTTACGCGGTCAATTGAACCCACAGGGTACCGCGGAAAGTGAAAACTGCGGTAAGTGAACAACAGAACATATGGGATTAATTCCAATAGAGACTGGCCCGACCCCCAAACTCCACTTTTTCTGACACAATACCTTTGTTGTAGTAAAAATAACATCTTAATTTTATGATGGTATGCTCACACAATTAATATTTAAGAGAAATACAGTCGCCAGGTTAATGTCCATTCAAATAATGGACTCAAATCCCCTCCCCCCCTCTTCCCAGCTCACTAGCTCCTACCTCTCTGAGAAATGTTTGGGTGAAAACACTAGATTTTAACGTTTAGTAATAAATAATACCTCAGACTAAAGTTAGGATAATATAATGACATTTCTGGATTCCTTGCAGGTCAGGGAATATTTTGAATGTAAACTTCATATATTTTGCACAAGCGATAAAATATTTGCTTTGTTTAAACCAAATTATTACATTAGATCTAAAATTTGTATGTCTAATGCAAAATCCATGATGTTTATATTCCAAATGGTCATCATATTGTAAGAATTCAAGCAATGTAAATTATATTCTGGCCGGGTAATTTGTATGAATTTTATGAGCTAAATAAAAAAAAATAATTATACTTCACCGCGTATATGAGAAGATGCACCGCGGAAAGTGAAAGTCCGGTTCTGGCAAGGTACCGCGTAAATGAGAAATTGCGGAAAGTGAAACCGTGTAAAGCGGGGCAATACTGTATACTGTATTCCCTTTATGTGTTTGTCCTTAGGATAATTATTTCTTTTACCTGTAGTACAGTATTGTATGTGTGTGTGTGTGTGTGTGTGTGTGTGTGCGTGTGTGTGTGTGCGTGCGTGCGTGCGCGCGGACACACATACACCCACATACAAATAAATAATAATTGAAAAACCCTCTCACAAATAATCAGAATTTTTTTTATTAAAAATGTGAGTTCCCTCCATCCGTGCTCTATTAATAAAGTACTGTAATAGAGAACGAATGTGAGGGTAAACTCACATTTTTAATACATTTCTTTGTGATTATTTGTGATAGTATTTTCAAATTACGCTATTATTGTTTTGTGTGTGTGTGTCTATACACACACACACACACACACACATATTTACAATACAGGTAAAGGAAATTACTGTCTCTAGAACGAATGGCACCCTGTCCCAGCCGCGAAAATGCCTGCAACTTTAAAACTACCCACAGACAATCTTGGGTACATCCAGGGTGTCATCCGCGAAGTAAAAATCCGCGAACTTGGGGGTCCCCTGTATTTATTTTCTGTAATTGAGAGTTGGATAGTTTCATATAATTCTTTTTCCTGGATAAAGCTATACTGTATACAGTGGTCCCTCGGTTAACGAACACAATTCGTTCCAGAAGGTCGCTCGTTAACCGAAACCATTGTTTCAATGGATTTTGGGTAATTGGTTCCAGCTCACCGAAAACTACATACAAAGTGAAAAAAAAATGCGTTAAAGTACACTTACTTTGTGGTGTGTATGTCGAAGGCTCCTGGTTGATGATGATGATGATGATGGGAATTAGAAGTGGGGATGGAGGAGAAGGGAGAAGAGAAGGAAGTGGGGGTGGAAGAGAAATCACCCCATGCTTGATGCCGTCATTTCACCCATAAAATTTTAATTTCACTTGGTGTAATTCAAGATTATTTTCTTTAAATTAACACTGCACTGCACTATATATTGTCAATATGTAAAATAAATGTCAGAATGACCAACAGTTGTACTGTAAAAATGTAAAAATACTCTTTGTTCAAGAGACCCACAAGCAAGATGTTTCCTCCACTGAACAGAGATACAAACTGAGGCCTTGGTGGGTGAGTGAAGTGGCTGATGGGCACACCAAAAACTAGTTCCCTGTACTGCAATTATGTTAAATAAGTGTTAAAATGACTAAAAATTTTAATATAAAACTTGGAAAATTATTGAATAGTACAACCTTCTTGATTTTTACTCCAATTTTAACGAATGTAAGTCCAAGAACCGATTTCTGTATTGGCGGACTAATCTTCCAGCTGATGAGCAAGCCAAAGCATGTCAAAAATTTTTCGTAAGATTTTCGTTAACCGAATTTTTGTTCGTTAACTGAAATGACAATTCTTATGTAAGGTAATTCGTTAACCGAGGCGTTCGTTAACCGAGGGACCACTGTATTCTTAAAAATTTTTTCATAATGTGGCATTAAGAAAAGTAACTTACCAGACCTAACCTATTCTAAAATACTACAGTTATTTACTGTTTTATTTTTGTAAGATATAATAACATTCCCTCCTTATCGTTTTTTTTAAATATTGTTGCATTTTACAATTTATCGTTCATCAAGTAAAGAAAACTAATCAAACCAAACCTAGGTTAACCAGACCAAAAACACTAAGGCCAATCATCTTTTGTGAAGTACCAGGTATTACCAAAGACTGTATATTGTCAATACAGGCAGTCCCCGGATTACGTGCGAGTTCCAATCTTACGGATGTTCTTAGGTTGAAAATGTACTTTGAAACACATGCCGTCTATGCATACCACACTGTACTTGCAGAACTGTTTAAAATCCCACTATAACATAGCCTAAGTCTTTATATACATTTAATATCACTTAATTGAAGTGAAAAGAAGAAATATAATTATAAAATACAGTAAAGGTAAGTAAAAAATAAGTCATCAGGTAAGGGCAGTAGGTAGTAGGCAGCTGTCAAACGGGGAGGTATTACCATTCGGAAAGATGTTGGAAGCATAATATCTTGTTTAGTGTGTGCCTGGTTGGGCTAATCCCCAGAAAAAAAACAACAGCAACAACTAAATTTAAAGTTTAACTTCATGGAACCATGTTTGTATTGGCATATGTTCATAAGTTGAACGTACGTAACCCGGGTACCTCCTATTTAGTCCCACTTTGCAAGATTTTACACTTTTTAAGAAACAACATTATTTATTTTTACCTATCATCATCAAGACTGTTTTATGATAATTTTCCATATTTGTGATATAGTTATCTGATGGCAGTTCTCCAAGTTGCACAGTCTCGTACAGCCTCTTGTGTAAGTTTATTTAATTATTATTGTTCTTTTTATTTCAGGCCTGATAGTTTCCACAAAAAGCAACTTAATCAACTGAGGCAGGATGCTTGAGGGCTTGGCAACATGGGTACTCAACAATTATCTGGGAAAGTACCTGGAAAATTTACACACAGACCAGCTCTCAATTGGTCTATTGACGGGTAAATTGTCAATACTGTACTCTACTACTTTGTAAACTGCTGTGACTGTATTATATATAAGTCTGCTTTGCAGAATGTATGAAAGCAAAGGGACAGTATTTATTGTTTTGTTAATCACTATCTGTATTTACATGATAAGCAGCCCTGATGATGAGAAAAGTAAAGAATTAGGTTGAAACTGGCTCAGTGACAGCCTTTTAAGTATATTACTGTACCGTGTTGATGAAAGTGAAAGTTGGTACCATAGACCTTTTAGTCTGTTAGGGGTTTTGTAATACATCTAACTGAATACCGATCCTCCAGCACACAAGGAAGCATTGTGACCAGCACTACTTTTAACTGCCATTTCTTCCTCAAGTGTGAAGTTGTAACCTTTCAAAGTTGGGTTTACTGGAGGTGCCCCAGACATGAACCAGTGACACTTAGCACAGGTGGTGAGAGGTGTATCCACTTGGAAGTCACATTCCTCTTAATTGTTAATAGTACAGTAATTAAAATGATGATTGAATGTATGAAGTATAACATATACTGTAGTTGTAATTACTAATAGAAATAGGAAAAGTCAGACAACATGAATTTTCATATTATTAATATTGAAACCGTTTATTTAACCATAAAAATATATACAAATTGAGCAATGAAAATTTTGACATGGCTTAGTCAATTGAGAGTCAGAGCACTCTCAGTGGCACCTGATAAATACTATTATTGCCTCTAACTGAAAGTCTTTCTTCTATGTATACAGCTGTATATATTTTTTCAGTGAAGTGAAACATTAGTAGATGCACTACCAGAATAAAAGATCAGAAATTGCTTCTTGAGGAGGTGTCAGTCCTACCAGTTAGACTTAATTCTTTATTCTTCTGTTCTATGCCACTTTACCATTCAGTGGTCTGTACAGGATCAGAAATGCTCTCCATAATTTCCTCAATTTCTGTAACAAATTATATATTCTCAGCAAAAAGTATTGCTACTATGTACAGTATTAGTATTTAGAAGAATGTACTGTACATGTACTTGTATTATAGCGTAGGATTTTAGAAAATCAAGGGGGAAGAGAGAATGTCTTGTGATGCATTAAACGAATCTCAGAATTACTGGCAGGGTTCTCAAAATGAATCCTCATATGTGGGACATATGGATGATTCTCTCTTTGCTTTGCTTGATAGTGCCATAATACTGCATGTATTGCACAGTATAAATAGTAATTTTGATTTTCAGCCCAATCATGTTTAAATGTATAGAAATTCTTTTATGACACTCAAGTCTTTCAATTTATTTATTTAAAGTCATGTTGAAACTGGTATATGTTATGATTGGTTCCGTCTCCTTGCAAGTATTTTATGTTTGTATTTCACCAAATGACTTCAAACTATTGAATCTATTACATTGAGAGTTTGAGGTGAATTGGAGTCACTGCATTGGGTTAAGTTATTAAAATTTAGTCACAATTTGATTAAGTTCAAAGTCACAATACATGGTTTAAAATAACATGGGTAAGAGCATTCCGAGAATGTATGTTGGTTTGTTGTCACATATGCTTGTAATTGTCACATTACCATCTACCTACATTATATGATATAATACTGAACAGGAACTAGCATCTGGTTATTGTGTTTCAATTTATGACTTGTGATAGGATTAGTACAGTCAACTACTATAGTCCATTCAACCTCTCCCTCTGAACCACAAACTCTGAGATTCAGACTCGTGAACCCAAAGCAGTAGACTGATACGTACATTATTCTGTCCATAAATGCTTCGGATTCATGCATCTAAATCTTGGGGTTCGTGGTTCAGAGCGAGAGGCGAACGGACTTTAGTAGTGGACTGTGCACACATCCAGGAAAATATTGTACTATTGTAGATGCCAGTACAGTAAAAGAGAAATTGAGGTAGTCTATCTACCATGTAGGGATTTGATTTATAATTGTTTTCTGCCTCCCTCCCCCCAAGAAATAATGCTAAGCCAGATATCTTTGTAAGCATTAAGACTTCCCTATTTTTAATGAAATGTAAGTAAATAATACAAGTCTGTTAGCTTAAAAGTACTCAAGTTATCAAGATTTTGGAGTACTGTACTATGTAAAGAATACTGTCTTCACACAGGGGAAGTGGAACTGGAGAATGTACCACTACGGAAAGATGCACTGCGGCACCTGGATATGCCAGTTGAGGTCCGGGCTGGATTTGTTGGGAAAGTTAAACTTCAAATTCCAGTTTCACGATTACGTTCAGAACCATGGGTCATTATGTTTGATCAGCTCTACCTTGTGGCAGGACCTGTAAAACTTGAAGAGGTATGTCTATGAGTGCTTCATTCCTTGCCAGTGTAGTGATAGTGAGGTGAAGTGATACAGTAAACTTCAAGGTAAATACAGTAGGAAGAAGTAGATAATTAATTTGGAGTACAATAATGATAAAGATTTCATGCCAAATGAAAAAAGATATAATACCTCTTATAATGGACGAGATACATTCTTGAGGTTTGCTAAGCAAAATACAATATCTGTTAAAAGAGGCCACTATACTGTAATGTACTTATGGAGGTGTGTTTTTGCAAATAGCAAAATTTGTCAAAATAAATAAATCCCTCTAATTACTACTATTTTATTGCAGAATGGCTAAATAAGGATTAAATGTTGCAAAATAGGTTTTAAACATTAGAAAAAAGTTGCCGTTGCTTAGAATTACAAGTACACTTGATTTTCTACTGCCGTCTCCATACAAAAATGTAAACATTAAGTGGCAAGCAAACAACTCCAGTGCAACAATAATAAAACAAGTAAAATGGCTGTTGCGGGGTGACAATGCTTAACTTTTATACATGTATTCAAATGAAGACTTTGTTAACATCAATGATAATGGAACTAAATTTAATAACACTCACCAGTTAATTTTTTTGGAGCTTGCTGTTATCGAGTATGGTTTAAACCTGGGTTGTCAAATATGTGGCCTGGCGCCCTCTTACATGTGGCCCGCGGCCCACGGCCCACTGGCTGCTCCAGCTGCACCTTGAGCAGCTAAGAGCCTAAGACACTAGCATTTGAAGTGAGACTATCTGTATTGGATAATGCTGTTTTATTCTATTGAATCTATCGCTTCTATTGAGTCTGTTCAAAGGCAAGTGCTTTTAGGATGTTTTGTGAATCTCACTCCATTACGTATCTGGTGTTAGACTGACGGCCTGCTAAATGTGTTGTTAGCCCATTTGACTAGTGGGGGTTTCCCTCAGCTGAATAAAATTGTCTGGTGTTTGCTAGAATAAAATACTCAGTGCAACAGCACCAATGAAAGAGCAATATGAGATAGTTTTAATGGTTAATTGTGGTTCTAAGCATGCCACTGTACAAGTTGTGAGATGGGCTGACCACTGGCTGTCTACTGGTATTAGACGTGATAGCTCTGATACGGCTGACTCTCACTTGGGCAGTCACACGGGTACTAGTCCTGCATAGTCGCTCAAGGCAGTTGGAGCGTTGCATACATCGGAAGCAGTATCCATTGTGTTTACTTTTGAGCCCATAGTCATGTTATCAAAGAAAAGAACAATTAATGACAAGCGTCAGTTGGTACAGGAAAAGTGGAATATCTTGTACTTTTTTGTTGAAATGAATGGAAAACCGACATGTTTGATTTGTAAGCAACTTGTAGCTGTTGCCAAAGATTACAATGTTTGAAGGCATTATGATCCTAACCATGCTCAGAAGTATAATAAATATAGTGGCAAGTTACACGAAGACAAAGTTAAAGAGTTATAACAGTCACTGAAAAAGCAGCAGTCAGTATTTAAGAGTGTTCATCAAGTCAGTGTTGCTGCAGTTAAGTCAAGTTACAGGATTACCCATAAAATAGCTGTGTCATTGAAGCCTTGAAAAATGTCAAACATTTGCAAATGTTAGCCTTTCAAGAAATACAGCTGCAGAGAGAATTAATGAATTATCAAAGAATATTAACAGTCAACTTAAAGGCAAAGTCCTTTACTGCATTTTCTGTTGCAATTGATGAAAGTACATTACCAATATAACTGATATGGCACAACTTGCAGTTTTTATATGTGGTGTGGATGAAAATATGTAGTTAACAGAAGAGTTTATGGAACTGGTACCAATGAAAGGAACAACAACAGGTGATGACATCTTTGCAAGTTTGGTAGGGGCACTGGATAAATTAGGTGTTGACTGGGTGCAAACTGTGAGTCTGGCTACAGATGGAGCACTGCAAATGGTTTGGAGAAAAGCTGGTGTGGCAACAAAATTAAAGGAAAAACTACTAGCTGTGAACCCAAACCATCAATTTCATAATTTGCATTGCATTATACATGGAGAAGCTGGATAATGTCATGGATGTCGTTATAAAGGTCTGAACTACAAACAATTCAACTGCTTTTTGGAAGAATATGAGAGAACACACATGGACTGCCATATCACACTGATGTTCACTGGATAAGTCGAGGAGTCGTACTGAAGCAATTTAATGAATTGTGTAGTGAATACAGATGTTTATGGAACAGAAAGGAAAGGATATGCATGAATTGAAAGATAATGAATGGGTTTAAGCTCTAGCTTTCATGGTGGATATTACAGAGCACTTAAATTACCTGAACACAAAGGTGCAAGGACGCAATAAATTGGAACAGAGTTTTATGACTGCATTCATGCCTTTGAGATGAAACTGCAGATTTTTGAAAGGCAACTTGCAGTGAGTAATCTTTCACACATTCCGACCTTAAAGTCCCTGCAAGGCACAACTGAGCTTCATTTTGATACCAGCACAGAAAAGTACTGCATCAAGATTTCCAAGTTAAGGAATGAGTTCCAAGAAAGATTTGTTGACTTCAAATACCTTGAGAAAGATTTAAGAAATTTTCAGAACCCATTCTGTCAGTGTTAATGAAGTTTCATGACCAGAAGATCTTCAGTTAGAATTAATTGAGCTCCAATGTGATTCTGTTTTGAGGAACAAGTTTTCGAGTGTCGATGTTGGCACATTTTATCAATATGTGGGACTAAATTATCCCAGAATTAAGTGTTTTGCCTCATAGATTATGTCCATGTTTGGAAGTACTGTGTTTGTGAACATTTCTTTTCTGTATTGAACATTAAAAAAAGCTCGGCTTTGCTCTCAACTTACTGATGCGCACCTGAATTCAATACTGAAGGTTGCTGCAGCTCAGTTATTAGCTCTAAACTTTGATGCATTGGTTCATACCAAGAGGTACCAAGTATCAGGGAGCAGCAGTAGCAGGCAATAAGACTAATCAAGGTAACTATTTATTATACAACACATAGCAGTAGCAGGGGTTTTTTTGAGAGAGAGATAGAGATAGATAGAGCGGGGGGACTTGTCTTTCTCTCGAGTAGACTAAGACCTCAGCCACCAGCACCTCTAGTTCTGTTCCTGGATCCACCTCCCTTATATTTTGCCACGCTACTCCCCAAAGGGGCAATTGCGAAGTGCTCATAATTATGTTACATGGCCCGCATAGTGTGTACTCATATTAAATCTGCCCCTCCATAGCAAATGAGTTTGACACCCCTGGTTTAAACAGTGGAGGAAGCCAAGCCAAGTGATCGACTAAGATCGACCTGATGCTTACTTGCCTCAACCCTTCATATCACTTTCATTTTCACGTCCTCTGTAGTGACTTTCCCGGGCACCTTGGCTGGTTTACCAACACATTCACTTGCAGGTCGTTTCTCAGACATAATGGGCATAAGTGTTCACAAAATACACTTAGATAGCAAAAATATGAAGAGAACTAGCATGATACAACTATACACTTTGAGATGATTGCTGAGAGGATATAAACAACAAAGATGACGGTGGGTTTTATCGTTGGTTCATTAAACAGACTCTTAGTAAATAACTTATAACTTAGTGGTCATCTCTGTGGTGAGTAGGCTACTGGTGACATGTTTGTATTGTGTGAGATGTATGCCCTTATAATGCCAAATGGTACCTTAAAGTTATTGTTTGAACAATAGTTTCTGACTCCTATTTGATATTGGATTTAGATTTTTTATAATCACAGTCATTATTATGGGCAATAGGAAGGAAAACAATTATTTTGTGTGCCAAACATGTACAGTTAAGTGTACATGTACACTTAATAATTTTTTAATTGCTAAATGGCAGCAACACTGCCTGGCTGCAGTTGTAACTAGGAAAGTATAAATAAATATAAATATAAAAGTATTCATATTTACATTTGGAGTGACACTTTCTTTGTATTCATATACTGTACTTAGAAATAAGAAGCACATGTATGTATTTGCATTTGAATACTGAACCCATGTATTCACTCCTTTCATGCATGTTTATGATGTAATTTGTATCAAAGATTTACCTAAATGGTACTGGTTGTACACATCTTGGTATTTGACAAGATGATACAGGTTGAACCTCCCTAATCCGGCACCCTTTGGACCTGACCAGTGCCGGACTATAGAATTTTCCGAACCACAGGTGGTCTTTGTAAAATACATAGTATTATTGATGCGCCAATCTGGAGCATCATATTTAAAATTTTGCGCCTAATGTTTCTCTGGGCACACTACACTGTCCTAAGGGCAAAGCTGTACTGTACATGTACTCAAAATAATGTACTAAATGATTACTAAAATTTTTGTCTAGTGCAAACTATAGCATGATTATATTCAAATTAATCATTATCTTATAAGAATTCCAGCAATGTAAATTATATTCTCTCTGGTCACTTCTGTGACATTTTATAAACAAAAAACATAAACTCAAGCTAAAGGACATGAATAAACAAATAAATACTTCACTAGACCTTGGTTCCAACTGTCAAACATGTCACTGTCACTTGCCTCCCCCCATCTTCCTTATCTTCCCAGCCAGGGTTTGGTGTTATAGGCTTAAAGTTTTTATCTTTCATATTATCACAGACTAAAGTTAGGAGAATATAATTTGTATTGCCGGAATCCTTGCAAGACAGTGAATAATTTGAATATAATCATCATATGTTTTCACAAGAGATAAAAAATTTTGCTCTTTGTATTTTTTTTTTTTTTTTTTTTTTTTTTTCATATTACCACCCAGGCACAGGTCAAACGACCCACAATGGGGCCTGGGGGGCGAAAAAAAAAAGAACAGAAAGAAATTGAAAATAGAGAAGAAAAAGGTTATACAGTAGTCCCTCGGTTAACAAACACAATTCGTTCCAGAAGGTCGTTCGTTAACCGAAACCATTGTTTCAATGGGATATTGGGTAATTGGTTCCAGCTCACCGAAAATTACATACAAAGTAAAAATAAATGCAGTAAAGTACACTTACTTTGAGGTGTGTATGTAGAAGGCTCCTGGTTGATGATGATGATGGGAATTAGAAGTGGGGATGGAGGAGAAGGGAGAAGAGAAGGAAGTGGGGGTGGAAGAGAAATCACCCCATGCTTGATGCCGTCATTTCACCTATAAAATTTTAAGTTCACTCAGTGTAATTCAAGATTATTTTCTTTAAATCAACACTGCACTGCACTATATATTGTCAAAATGTAAAATAAATTTCAGAATGACCAATAATTGTACTGTAAAAACATAAAAATAGTTTATGTTCAAGAGAGCCACAAGCAAGATGTTTCCTCCACTGACCAGAGATACAAACTGACGCCTTGCTGGGTGAGTCAAGTGGCTGATTGGCACACCAAAAACTAGTTTCCTGTACTGCAATTATGTTAAATAAGTGTTAAAATGACTAAAAATTTTAATATAAAACTTGGAAAATTATTGAATAGTACAGTGACTCCTCGTTTAACGAACACCTCGGTTAACGTAATTTCGATTAACGAACTGCCTTCCATAAGGATCTTCAATTCGGTTAACGAAAAAAAATTCGCTTAACGAACTTCTTACGAACCGACCTCAACATGTTTTCGCTTGCACTGACCGGGCAACCAGCTTTAGTATCAGTCCGCCAATACATTAATCGGTTCTAGGGCTTAAATTCCTTACTATTTTTGTAAATATCAAGAAGTTTATACTATTCAATAATTTTAAAAGTTTAATATTCAATTTTTTAGTCATTTTAACAATTATTGAACAAAATTGAAGGTAAAGTGACTAGTTTAATGCGCGGCGTCCAGCCTCTTAACACAGCAAACAGGCGTCAGTCTCTCTCTGTTTTCACTGGAGGTAACATCTTGCTTGAGACTCTCTTCAACTAAACGCTTTTTTTCTGTGTTTCCAAGCAAATTATTGGTCATTTTGAAAATTATTTTACATATTGACAATATATAGTGCAGTGCAGTGTTATTTTAAAGAAAATATTCTTTATTTACAGCTAGTTTAACTTTGAAAAATACGTGTTGCCATTGTTTGAATCCAGCATGGGGCCTAAGAGATCAAGAAAAGTGATTTCAATCCAAATGAAGCAGGAAATAATAAAAAAACACGAACAAGGTATTAAATCAAATGCGCTATGCAAAGAATATGGCATGTCGGCATCAACTGTGTCGACAATTCTTGCACAAAAAGACAAATTTAAGGAAGTGAACGTGAGAGACAAATCTACAAGAGTGTTTAAAAGTAGATCCCTAATCGTAGAAACTGAGAGGTTACTTATCATCTGGATTAGGGAAAAACAGATGAAAGGTGATTCAGTTTCTGGTGATTTCATTTGTGAAAGAGCCAGGGAGATTTATGAACATTTAAAGACAGATCAACCTAGTTCTTCAGGAACAGAATTTGAAGATTTTCGGGCTAGCAAAGGCTGGTTCGAAAAATTTAAGAAAAGAAGTGACATTTTAAGTGTTGTTAGGCATGGTGAAGCTGCTAGTGCTGATAAAGAAGGGGCAGCAAAGTTTTTAATTGAATTTAAAAAACTGATGGAAGAAGAAAATTATCTTCCACAGCAAGTGTTCAATGTTGACGAAACTGGGCTGTTCTGGAAAAAGATGCCCAAAAGAACATTCATCACCAAGGATGAAGCCTCTTTACCTGGGCATAAACCCATGAAAGACCGTCTCACTCTATTGCTTGGTGCCAATGCTTCAGGGGATTTCCGACTGAAGCCTATGCTT